TGCAATTCATTGACTGTACAGAAGTCATTTTGCAGGCAAAACGCACCTAATTACTATCGTTTGGAAGTTGCGATTGTTAAATAGATGTATTGTTGAGAATGCATGTATAATATTATACATGTATTGTCGAATTTGATGCATTGTAGAATACAACGTTTGGTATGTGTGATTGTGTATGTCGCATCAGCTAAAAGCTAAGACAAAACAATCTCAACTCAACTATCTCAACAATCACAACTAAAAGTTGAGATATAACAATCACTCAAAATGAGTGATAGTTTCTGTCACATCATAGAAACAATTCATGTATTGTTTCTGCTAAAAAAACAAAAAAACGATGCATTGTAAACAATACATGCATAATAACAATCTCAACAAAACAATCGCAACTTCCAAACGACCCCTAAGAGTTCTTAAATTTTTACATGAGCAACAAAGAAGTTTATCAGAGGAAGAATCCCTGCAAAACCAAACTACTACACAGTCCTTGTCATGAGTACCTATTTAGTATTTACTAATGACAGAATTTACATAGTTCATTATTGAGAGGAGCGATTTAACTGTTTCACCACGAGAGTTTAGATTGAGGTCTGAAAATCATGAGGGGACCGAACTTTATTTCCAGGAGCAAAATCATCATTGTTTTTTGTACAAATACCATTAGAAAATTTGAATTATAAAAAAAATGTCATGAATTATTCAATATTCCATTTATGTTTTGAACTATTTTTCTATTAGTGTTAATCGAGTTTGATCGTTAATATTTAATAGAAAATTCAATCAACATTAATGTGACATCTAATATGGATATTAAATTCAATATTTTTTCATGTAATAACAAAATAATTAAAATAACATAAAAATTTGAAATTTTTTGAGTCTTCCTCTCGACCCTTTTGAATTCCGCTAGAGAGAGAAAGAGAGCATGAGAACAGCGATTTGATTTATATTCCCTTGAAATTTTTGCAGACGGCGAGAAAAGCGTTCGGGGCGGTGGATTCAGTCCCACTCTTCTTTATTCCGCTGGTTTTGACTGATCGAGACCTTAATTGGAGGTACTGGTGCAGATTATGAACGATATGAGATGGTAGGTAGGGATGACAACAAAACCCGAACCCACAGGTACCCTACTCGACCCAATTCGGTAAACGTGGGTAAAATTCGTGTTGACGAATTTTAGGTTGGGTTTGAATTTAAATTCGTACACTATTCACCGGGTTGGGTTGGGTTTGGGGATATCCGACCCATGAATACCTGCACACACTTATTCTGTCTCCCTACTCTCCCCAAACCCTACCCTAATTCTAATTTCACCCAATCTAACTCTCACGACACTCACGACTCACCTACCGCCTCCCTACTCTCCCCAAACAAATGAACGAAAACAAAAAATTGTGTGCTTTTATTTAGTATAATTATCATTTGTTTGAATTTTTTAGACTGGTGTTTTATGTATGGATAATTTGTATGGGGAAATTGATGTTGAATTTTATTTTGATAGAAACTTGTTATTGTAAATTTTTTACCGCAAAAACTCATGGGTACCCATGAACCCGCATATATCCAACGAGTTGGGTTGGGTTTAAATTTTCCAAACCCAGTGAGTTTTACACCGGTTTTTTTTGGCGGATAAACCCATGAGTTTGGATTTGGCAAAATCCGACCCAACCCGTTCCATTGCCATCCCTAATCTAGTGGAGGTATTCCAATACACATCCGCTTATTTTTATACCCATTTCTTCACTTTCGAGTTTGAAATTCGTGGGTAGGGATGAAAATAATTAGGTTTTAATTTTTAATAATTTTGATAATAAGGTGGAAAATAAAAATAATTAAATTATATTTTATTTTCATTTTTTAACTGCCATATCACTCATTTAACGATCAACTATGAGACTTGACCGCCACATCAGCAAAAGTTAACGGAGACTAATGGCCAATGACCAAACTTGGACGGTTAACCTAATTTAAGTGACTACGGATGAAATAAAGTAGTAATTCAGTGGTTAACGTGAACTTTACTAGTAATGCAAGTGATCAAATTTGCAATTTAGCCATATAGCTAGCAATTTATGATCTTGACAAAAACCCAGTCTACCACAAAAATTTCTCACTAGGTGGCTCGAGAGGCAACCGACAGAAAGGGCATTTACATCAATGCAATTGTAAAAGCAACTACATTTGTTTTCTTTACTTTTTTTGCATTACGGGAGGACTAAGCCAAGAAACAAGAAAGACAAGGAGGGAGGAGACAAAAGGCTAAGAGGAGGAAGGCGCCACAATTTGGCGGTCAAAGGACACCCCCATAATATCATCCTGTAAGATCCGCACTAAGTCACTAGGCGGGTTAGTCAGCTCATGCATACCGTAGGGATAGACGAGACTGTGCTTTGTGAGCGTCTGCGGCTCTATTCCCTTATCGGTATGTATGAACTATACTAACCAACCAATCCTGAGCTAGCTTCCTCCGAATAGACACTAACAGAGTAGCATACGGGTGCACCGGATCGTGACGATTATTGATGAGAAGAATCGCCAGCTGAGAATCCGTCTCGATCACAAGATTACCACAACCCCACTTCCAAGCAAGAGTAAGCCCCTGGTAAAAGGCCCATAGCTCCGCCAGGGCCGCAATAGCTTCTCCGATCTTTGCCACAAAACCTGTTATCCACCCCCCCGGGCATCACGAATTAGCCCACCTGCACCAGCAAGCCCCGGATTACATGCCGAAGCGCCATCTATGTTCAGCTTCACCCATCCCTGCTGAGGAGCCTTCCATTGGATGCTAGCTGTCACTCGATTCCTCCCTGCCTCCCGGCTACTAGGCCCCAAGAGAGGAGAGCACCACGCTTTGTACCACATATCCGACTTCAGCTGAATAGAGTGCAACAACGAGGGGGCTGTCAGAGCCTTCTGCGCTCCTTGGAAAACCGTCGTGCACCTGTTTTCCCACGAAAGCCAGATGGTAATACTGAAGAAAGCACTCCACGGCATACCATTCGCCATCGCTCTATCATTGAGTAAGTTCCGGCGGAGCCAATCCTCCTGGGTGCTTGAGAAGAAACCAAGCTGCTCGGAGGGGGGAATGCACCTGTTCCAAATAAAAACCGCCGGCGGGCAATCTCTCAGCAAGTGGAGTGTTGTTTCCGGGCAGCACATTTGTTTAAAAAATTCAAAAGTACCACTGTTTAAAAAAAATTCCAAAAATACCACCCAACCCCAAAAAATTCCAAAAACACCACCCTTTTTCAAAAATCGCCACCCCACCCTGCGGTTTACACGAAAACCGTTTGTCGGGGGGCGCGGTTTTCTATGCAAACCGCGGGCCTAGGGGGCGGTTATATAAAAAAAAAATTGGACCAAACCGCTGGGTGGGGCCCACCCAGCGGTATGATCCATTTTTTTTATCAACTGCTAACTTCGGCCGAAACTTCAAACGAATGTAACTTTGCACTCGGGTATCCGATCGTAGCGAACTTTTTTTTTATTTCGCATAACTTTTCAAGATCTACAACTTTTACTAGGATGAAATTTTCAAAACAGGAACTATTTGTGGATATACGGGACCTTGAGAATAACTTTACCTTTACTTTTCACAAATCCATGTACATTTTGAAATTATGATTATATTAAAAGTTGTAGATCTTGAAAATTTATGTGGAATAAAAAAAAATTCATGACATTAGGATTTTGGAGCACAAATTTTTGGCCGCCCAAAGTTTGACGAAATAAAAAAAAGGCTCGTTCGGGGTGGCAAATGACGTTTTTTCGAGACGAAGGCGGGACCCGGCGGTTTGTGGCTTGCAAGATCTCAAAAAGTTATTCGGATTCAAAAAAAGGAGGCCGCAAACTTTTTGAGATCTTGCAAGCCGCATACCGCCGGGTCTCGCATTTCGTCAAACTTTGGGCGGCCATAACTTTGTGCTCCAAAATCCGAATGTTATGAATTGTTTTTTTGATTCCGCATAACTTTTCAAAATCTACAACTTTTAATATAATCATAATTTCAAAATGTACATGGATTTGTGAAAAGTAAAGGTAAAGTTATTCTCAAGGTCCCGTATATCCACAAATAGTTCCTGTTTTGAAAATTTTATCCTAGTAAAATTTGTAGATCTTGAAAAGTTATGCAAAATGAAAAAAATCGCTACGATCGGATACCCGAGTGCAAAGTTACGTTCGTTTGAAGTTTCGGCCGAAGTTAGGAGTTGATTGAAAAATAAAAAATTTGGACCAAACCGCTGGGTGGGGTGGCGGTTTTGGGTCAAACCGCCACCCCACCCAGCGGTTTGGTCCACAATTTTTTTTTTATAACCGCCCCCTAGGCCCGCGGTTTGCATAGAAAACCACACCCCCAACAAGCGGTTTTCGTGTAAACCGCATGGTGGGGTGACGGTTTTTGAAAAAGGTGGTATTTTTGGAATTTTTTGGGATTGGGTGGTATTTTTGGAATTCTTTTTTTAAACAGTGGTATTTCTGAAAAAAGTCCAAATATTTTGCAATCCAACTCACATTAATTTCATTTACCTACATAAATACAATTAACTTGCAATTGCATATGTGGGTACTACTTATTTTTTCAATAGAATAATTTTTTGTATGTTTCTTATTTTATCCACAATTTTAACCCTCTTATAGTTTCTCCTACACCGACATACTTTCTCGAAGAACCCGTAAATACTTCTGCTACGAAAAAGGGTTGTGATAAGAAACGCTCAATTTTTCGTGCTCTTGCTATAGTTAAGTGATCCTCTTCGGATAATTATTTTTTGTATGTTTCTTATTTTATCCATACACTTATCCGAAGAGCCATATCCACACTAGCCGAGAAGCCGCTGCATTTCCCAGCGGGACAAGGATTGGACACTGCCATCTGCCAACGCTTCTGGCGACACTGCATTTCCTTACTAGGCAAGACGACTTGCTCAATTCGTTCTTCCTCCGACGACGTCGAAAACCTGGGAGAAACGAAATTCGAGCTCCCGAAACACAGACGAGCAATGGAGCTCCTCAAGCTACTGATCTCCGGAGTCCTGAAAGCGGAGACCACGATCGAATTCGATCGACTTCTTGCACCTCCAATTGTGTTTGCAGCCTCATTGTGGATCTACGAAATCGTGACCGAGATCGTCAAGGCCTACCCGAACGTCATTTGGCTAGCTGATCCAAATGGCATGTACATTTCACCTTGCGGTGATCAATAGTCAGGAGAAGGTCTTCAACATTGTGTTCCAGATGAGCGCGAATAAAAACTTCGCGACGGTGTTGAGGGTTAGGGATTCAAGAGGTAATTTGCTGCGTTTGGCAGGGAAGTTTGGGGACACAGAGAGGATTCCTGATGTTGCTCTTAAAGTGCAGCGCAAACTTAATGTAAGACCCAAATATTTACAAATACCACATTTCATTTGGTATTTAGTCATGATTTAAGCTTTTCACCCGAATCCCAAAGAGTTGTCTATTAAGTTCCGTTGGTTGCCATCTGCCTTAACATCTATAGATCAATAGATGTGTTGGTTTTGGACTTTTGGTGGCAAGAAGCAAAGCTATAGGATTAATATTTGAATATCTTTAAATAAATCGAGTTATTGAAATGTATATATTTTATTATTTCCTTAAGATACGTCACTTTGAGTTTAGTAATTTTTTTTATCTTTGTAAAAGACAAGATAAATACAAATTAATTTCTTATGATTTATCAAAAATAGATTTCAACGGAAAATTAAAGTAACAAATCGACGATGGAAAAGGCGAGAGATAAATTTTTGGCTACCTTATTGGCCTTTCATAGAATTAGTTTTTGGAGCTTTAAGAGGTTAGACTATTATTAGGAAAATAGAGAAATATTATTTACCGTAAACAAAAAAGTGGGTAAAAGCATGAGGCCGAGAGGTTACATCGGAGAGTTAAGATTATAGCAATATACTCCATTCAACTAGTATAAAAGAGAACGAGAAAGAAGAGATAGATGAAACATCAGTCATAGGAAGAAGAAGAGTTCCTCTTCTTCTCCCTATCGAACTAAGTATATTCAGGGAGTTTATATACATAATAATTATAATATAATAAAAAAAATTCTTTTCTAATTGAAGGGTTAGTATACTCGGCACATAAGAGGGAGGAAGAAAGTTAAAAAAAAAAGGAATGGGGAGGAGGTTGATGATTTGTATGATGCTTGGCCTCCTGGCTACAGAGGCAATCGTGAGTGTACAAGGAGAAGATCCATACCTATTCTTCACGTGGAACGTCACATACGGGACTCGTTCTCCACTAGGTCTTCCTCAACAAGTTATTTTAATCAATGACCAATTCCCAGGCCCCAAAATCAACTCCACCTCTAACAACAATATAGTGGTCAACGTGTTCAATAACCTGGATGAGCCATTCCTCATTACGTGGAGCGGGGTTCAGCAGCGGAAGAACTCGTGGGAAGATGGTGTCCTCGGCACCAATTGCCCCATCGCTCCCGGGACCAACTTCACCTATCACTTCCAGGTATATTTAATACGTGAAAGACCTCTAGCTACCTAGTTTGCATAGGTCACACACATGATGTCCTCATTGTATATATTCCCCATTATACATAGACATATATTCTTATGCCTCCTGCATGTAGGTCAAGGACCAGATTGGCAGCTTCCTTTACTATCCATCGACTGCGGTTCACAGGGCAGTTGGTGGCTTCGGTGGCATTGGGATTAACAGTCGCCTTCTAATCCCGGTCCCTTACCCAGATCCAGAGGACGACTACACTGTCATCATCAACGATTGGTACCCTAAGAGCCACGCTACCCTAAAAAACTTCCTTGACAGCGGGCGCTCACTAGGGAAGCCCGAAGGAGTCCTGATCAACGGCCAGAATGCCAAAGGCGATGGCCATGACGAGCCACTCTTCACCATGATGCCAGGGAAAACATACAAGTACCGTATCTGCAACGTTGGGATGAAGACCACCCTCAACTTTAGGATCCAAGGCCACTCCATGAAATTGGTCGAGATGGAAGGCTCCCACGTGCTTCAGAATTACTACCAGTCCTTGGACGTACATCTGGGGCAGTGCATGGCCGTGCTCGTGAAGGCGGACCAGTCAGTGAAGGACTATTACATGGTGGCCTCCACCAGGTTCACCAAGGGCTACCTCCGAGTGGGAAAGGGAATCATCCGCTACCAAGGCAGCAACGGTGTTGTTCCATCCGCCCAAATCCCCGACGCCCCAGTAGGATGGGCGTGGTCTCTCAACCAATTCCGTTCCTTTAGGTGGAATCTCACAGCCAGTGCTGCTAGGCCCAACCCTCAGGGGTCTTATCACTATGGCCAGATTGAGATCACACGAACCATCAAGCTTGTCAACTCGGCCGTTAGGGTAGGCGGAAAGCTACGCTACGCCATCAACGGGGTGTCCCACGTGGACGGGTCCACTCCTTTGAAGCTAGCCGAGTACTTTGGGATAACGGATAAGGTGTTTAAGTATGACACAATTCAGGACATGCCGGCTGCTGGAGTTGATGCCCATATTGTGATGCAGCCCAATGTGCTCAACATGACCTTCAGGAACTTCGTGGAGATTGTATTTGAGAATCATGAGAAGAGCATTCAATCGTGGCACTTGGACGGCTACGCCTTCTTTGTAGTTGGGTACGTAAGTACGTACTTTGAGTATTGTCAATTGTTATTTATTTATTTATTTATTTATGAATATAAAAGTATATGGATGATGATCATTGACACTCATGTATGTGGGCCGGGTGTGTAGTTCTGAACCTGGGACTTGGACACCAGAGAAGAGGAAGAACTACAACTTGTTGGACGCGGTAAGCAGGACGACGTTGCAGGTGTACCCAAAATCATGGACGACGATAATGCTAACATTTGACAATGCTGGAATGTGGAACATTCGTTCGGAGATGTGGGAAAGGACATACCTCGGACAACAGATGTATGTCAGCGTCCTCTCTCCGGAACGATCACTTAGGGACGAGTACAATATGCCCGATTCTGCCTTGCTCTGCGGTCTCGTCAAAGGCTTGCCCAAGCCTGCTCCTTACACTGGTGCCTAGCTAGCTAATCAATTGCATATATCTAACTCATGTAACCAACTCCTCAATCCTTCTAAATATGTAAATCGATCCATTCCATTCCGGCCCCAAACACCAACATTAATACATACGATACATGCAAGGAAATGGTACGTACCACCTCGTGTATGTATGTGTGCCTTGTATATTAACCCTTCCAAGCTTAATTATTATATAATAATAAGATAACATGTTACATATATACACTCACGTGCCTTTCTCTGCAAAATGAGATCAGGTGCCAAAGCCACAAAATTTTGTGAACTTACAAAATCAGGTTGTATCGTTAAATGTGTATTATTCACTACTAAAAATAGCAGGGGTGGAGCTACCTGACTCCTAAGAATCTTGAAGCTGCTTTTAAATAGTTCGGGATAATTTATATAAACTAGAGGTTGTTTGCTTGAGGGATTTGATGATAGATTTGGTGATGGATTTGGATTTATCATGTCTTTTGTTCAAATTTCATTGTTTGCTTGATGTATCTAGTAATGTTGTCAGAAGCGAACCAGACTATGATCCGATAATGTGAACGGCTAGGTTTTTAGCGGTCCAATCGGCATTAGACCGTTTAAAAACCATCAGAGAACCGGTACCTAATAAACAATCACTATAAATAATGAATACTTCTTAATCATGGTGAACCTCCAATGATGTGACGGTGTTTTGAGCTTTCAATTATGGTCAATTATTCTATGTAAGTGACAAAAGAGGAGTAATCCCTATTTTGAAGGGTTAATTGCAAGTTTGGTCATTGGGATTATTAAAAATGTTCATGTTTGGTCACTGGAAATATTTAATTCCGTTCGTAGTCACTAAATTTAGTAAAACAGTCTAAGTTTGGTCACTCTCCGTTATCTTCCGTTAACAGCGTCAATTTTTTGCTGACGTGGCTAACAGAAAAGTCCAGTCACTATATTTTTAACCCAAAAAAATAAAATTCAACCTGCCACATCATCAAAACCTAACCCAACCCGTCCGACCTAGAAAAAACCTCACTCAACCATTCCAAATCTCTCACCTTGCCGTCGACCTCCGCCACTCCAAATCCTTCTCCAACAACTCCAACCCTAATGCCTCCTCCCCCACCACTTCCACCTCCGCCACAACCAAGACCACAATCTCTAAGCCACGCCGCTCATGCGAGATATGGCCCCGGAACAGCCTTTCTGATCTCAAATCCCTTCACTAGAGCAAGCAGGGAGGAAGCAAACTACGGCGGCTGTATCTTCTCATCCATTAGAGACATCGCTGTTGGGCTCAATACTGCCTTTATACTTCTCTTTGCCATCACCGACAGCCTGTATATCCATCCATCCAACCGATCAAATTTATTGTTTCCTCAAGTCAAATAGATGCAGACCATATGTATTTCTACAGTGGATGAAATCCCTAGAGAGAGGTTGTGACAGAGAATTGCATGGATGAAAGAAGAAGTTGTTGGGGTGAAATCGACCACCACCTTCAGAAACAGGGGAATCGTCGCGCAATTTCGTTTCCCCCGGATGCCCGAGATCCTCTCCCTCAACACTATTCTTCTCCCACTTACTCCAGTCGCCTAGCCCCTCTTCCTTCCCCTCCGCTATCGAAAAGAAGCAGAGGATCCGATGAGTCACAACCAAACTCCTTGAAGCTCCAAGGCATTGCAGAGACAGGATCGACGCAGCTGAATCTTATGCGAGCAACTCCGGTACGTAGAGCAGGGAATCAGAGGCTTCTCATCCTTGGTCGTCAGAGACATGGTCAACGCCGGGTTGACAATAGCGATTCTGAACTGATTCCCAATAGAAATTCTGGGGGTGCTTCTTCTTGTCGGTTTGACCCCAGGACGCGACTGAATCGGAGGCAACAGGTGCGGGAGTTGGAGGAACCGGTGGCTACGGCGGTAGGCGAGGAAGGGGTTTTTTTGAGAACCCGGGTTTGAAAGAGTCAGAGGAAGAAGAATGGGGAGATTGGGGATGCGGCGGAGCTCGAGGAAGAGGAGCGGTGAGGGATTGTTGATGGCGGGTTAATAAGTTAGGTTCGAGTCATGGGTTGGGTTAAATTTTATGACGTGGCGGGTTATATGACGTGGCAGACCATGTTTATAGTTTTTTGGGTTAAATTTGGGTGACAAGACTTTTCTGTTAGCCATGTCAGCAGAAATTTGACGCCGTTAACGGAGACTAACGGAAGATAACAGAGAGTGATCAAACTTAGACGGTTTTACTAAATTTAGTGACCATCAACGGAATTAAATATTTTTAGTGACTAAACATGAACGTTTTTAGTAATTTCAGTGACCAACCTTGCAATTAACCCCTATTTTGAAATCCCTATTTTGAAATTTCAAACAATATAATTCATTTGGATTTGTGTTCAGTTCTGTTACATTATGTAGATGTTTGAAGATAAATTGTGCTTTGAAATTGTTTTTTCCTTCGTTCAACATGTGCATAATCTAGGAAACAAAGTAGAACTTTGCATTCAAAACTTGCATGAAGAGCATTTTTTAAAGGTTTGGGAGTTGCAGATCTCAGGTTCGAATCCAAGCGAGGCCCGTTGGTGTTCCCGGAGGTACAAGTACAAGTTACAACGCTGCTGGGAGCGAAGCCCTCGTTGGTGTCGAATTTGATTGCAGGTGGCCCCCAGGTTTAGTAGGTCCCGTTGTCACAAAGTGGCACGTGGAGCTGAGGTTTTTGGGTAATAAAAAATCATTTTCAATTATATGAAATTAATTTTTGATTCAAATGGGTTGTTAGAAACATTTTCGCTTCTGAAGGATTTTTATGTGTTGAGAATAATATGGGGTCGTTTGGAAGTTGTGATTGTTTTGGCGAGATTGTTATTTATTATTATACATATATTGTTTAGAATTTATTATTTTTTTATTTTTTTGGCAGAAACAATACATGGATTGTTTTTGTGATGAGACAGAAACTATCACTCAAAATGAGTAATTGTTATATCTCAGCTTTTAGTCGTAATTGTTAAAATAGCTGATTTGATATTGTTTTGCCTCAACTTTGAGCTTATGTGACACATACAATTACACATATCACACTTATTTTACAATGCATAAAATTCGATAATACATATATAATACTATACATCCACTAACAACAATACATGTTAGAAAAGAAAAGTTGGGACAATAATAATGATTACCCACTAATTCCAGCTATCCTCACAATAATTCATTCAACATTTACAACATATATTCCCTTAAGAATAAAAAAGAATTATATAAAAGTCCAATTTTCCGCTCCCCTTCCTTTATTTCCCTACTTTTTACCTAAATAATCAAAAAGACACCCAAATAAATAAAACACCACAATTCCGTCCCCAGCCTACCCTCCCTGGCTCCCTCAGTCCCTCGCTTTTATTTTCCCTCTCCTTTTATTCTCATCAATCACTCACTCCCCATCCAAATTCGCAAAACCCAATAATCCTTCACACTGTTTCACTGCCTCTCTCCCTCCACCCCCAAAACCCTAATTCCCCGCCTCAAACGCCACCCTCTTCCCCTTCCCAGCCTACCGACCAAACCAGCCACCACCAGCTGCCATGGACGAAGCGTCAACCCAGCAGCTCCAGCAAGCTCAGCTCGCCGCCATCCTGGGGCAAGACCCAGCCCCTTTCGAAACCCTAATCTCCTCCCTCATGTCCTCATCCAACGACCAACGATCCCAAGCCGAGCTCGCCTTCAACCTCTGCAAGCAGAACGACCCCGATTCCCTCTCCCTCAAGCTCGCGCACCTCCTCCAGCTTTCCCCTCACCCCGACGCTCGCGCCATGGCCGCCGTCCTCCTCCGCAAGCTCCTCACCCGTGACGACGCCTACCTCTGGCCCCGCCTCAACCTCAACACTCAGTCCTCTATCAAATCCATACTCCTCTCCTGCGTCCAGCACGAGCAGGCCAAGTCGATTCTGAAGAAGCTCTGCGACACCGTGTCTGAGCTCGCATCCGGGATTTTGCCCGAGAACGGGTGGCCGGAGCTGTTGCCGTTTATGTTCCAGTGCGTTTCGTCCGATTCCCCTAAATTGCAGGAGTCCGCCTTCTTGATTTTCGCCCAGTTGTCACAGTACATCGGGGAGACTTTGGTCTCCTTTATTAAGGAGTTGCATGGGGTGTTCTTGCAGTGTTTGAATTCGTCCCCCAGTTTTGACGTGAAGATTGCTGCGCTGAATGCTGTTATCAATTTCATTCAGTGCCTGAGCAGCTCTTCTGATCGGGATAGGTTTCAGGATTTGTTGCCTGCTATGATGAGGACGTTGACCGAGGCGTTGAACAATGGGAATGAGGCCACCGCTCAGGAGGCCCTCGAGCTATTGATTGAGTTGGCTGGAACGGAGCCTAGATTCCTGAGGAGGCAGCTGGTTGATGTGGTTGGGGCGATGCTGCAGATTGCCGAGGCGCAGAGTTTGGAAGAGGGAACTCGGCATTTGGCGATTGAATTTGTTATTACTTTGGCTGAAGCTAGGGAGAGGGCACCTGGGATGATGAGAAAGTTGCCGCAGTTCATAAGCCGGTTGTTTGCAATACTGATGAATATGCTTTTGGATGTTGAGGACGATCCTGCTTGGCATACTGCAGAGACTGAGGACGAGGATGCGGGAGAGTCTAGTAATTACAGTGTTGGGCAGGAGTGTTTAGATAGGTTGGCAATATCATTGGGCGGGAACACAATTGTTCCGGTGGCCTCTGAGCAGCTACCTGTATACTTTTCCGCTCCAGAGTGGCAGAAGCACCATGCTGCGCTCATTGCACTTGCCCAGATAGCTGAGGGTTGCTCTAAGGTATAGAAGATTTTCGTCTTGTTTTTTAGTCTTTGTGTAGTCTTTGCACAATTTAAATGTTTTTGTTCGAATGATGATTCGTGGGGAAATGTATTGCTAGTTTCGCTCCCGATTTGAATTCATTTTGCTGTGACACTTGAGTTCCCTGAACCGTTTGGCCAAGGCGAACAAGATTGTGTGCCTAGAGTCTGTAGAAACACTCACAATTGAGTGGGTAATGTTGATATTCTTAGGTATTCTGGTTCTGCAGGTCATGTTAAAAAATCTCGAGCAAGTGGTGAACATGGTTCTCAACTCCTTCCAACATCCTCATCCCCGTGTAAGATGGGCAGCTATAAATGCGATTGGCCAATTGTCCACAGACTTAGGTCCGGATTTGCAAAATCAATACCATCAGAGAGTGTTACCAGCACTAGCTGCTTCAATGGATGACTTCCAGAATCCAAGAGTACAGGTAATACTCTCCTTTGATACTTTAACTTAAAAATATCTACTGAGATTTCAGGTAATTAACTCTAAATTAGTACCCATTGTAGCATAGGTTTATCATTTCGTTGTGATAATTTGATATTTGATTTTGAAACATAACCTTTTGGAATGTCTTATCTAGTAGGCATGGTTTTCATTGCAATCTAAAGAACAGATTTGAGGTTTACGCAGGTTGTTTTACTTTGCAATAACCTTAGACCTGTGTGCCATTCTTGTCTGCTGCACACTCTACATCAGATGTTGTACTTAATGCATTTGTTCTCTTGCAATTCCATTTGCATCATACTGTTGCTTTGCTCTCTTGAGCCTCTGCTGAAGTAATCATGAGAACTGCCTTGCACCCGGCGTGCTATAATTTACTGAAGCGATTGTTATAGATCCCAATATCTAATTTCCATGAATGTACAGCTTTCCCCACATCTGTACTACTTAATGAAGTTTCTTGTACAAAAGAGAGTAATGTTCCCTTACATGAGTGGTTCTATTTTCTTCACTTGAAGAAAAGGTTGGTATTAAACATAGCTCGTGTCGTATTCAGTTAGGAATCAATTTGCCTGTCAGTGTTATTCAATTGGATTCTGTGAAAGAAGTGAGAAACCTGAGGTGCTTTATAAGTCTGTAAGAATCGTAGAGTTGTTGGAAATAGAAATGGATTGACTCTTGTACTTCTCCCAAGTAGTTGGAAAGTGGAAGCAACATTTTCTTTCCAGAACACACGCTTTTTAAAATGTTGGAATCCTTTTTGACTGTAAATATTGTGGTTGGCTTCTGGTACCTGTTCTATGCTTTTGCTTTGTTTAGTTCTTTCAGTTTTATCACTGCTCATATTTTATTTTCTGCATTTGAAACTTATGTATTTTTCTTTGTTAGGCACATGCTGCTTCAGCTGTTCTGAACTTCAGTGAGAACTGTACTCCTGAAATCTTGACTCCTTATCTAGATGGAATTGTGAGCAAATTGCTTGTGCTCCTACAGGTATGTTTACTAAAGTTTAAATAACACATATTTAGGCCATTGTTATCTGATGTAACTTGGTTAAAAACTCTGAGTTACTTAGATTTTCACTGTCTATTCCACAGAATGGAAAGCAAATGGTTCAAGAGGGAGCACTGACTGCTTTGGCATCTGTTGCTGATTCATCTCAGGTAATTTGTGAAATTCTTTTCTTAGTTGTGGAGTGTGGTTTGTTAATGTGCATGCTGCACTTTTGTTCTGATTGTGTATGGTTTTCTAGGAGCACTTCCAGAAGTACTATGATGCAGTAATGCCCTACTTGAAGGCAATCTTGGTGAATGCGACTGACAAATCTAATCGCATGCTTCGGGCCAAGTCAATGGAGTGCATTAGTCTTGTTGGAATGGCTGTTGGCAAGGATAAGTTCAGGGATGATGCTAAGCAGGTATGTGAAAAATCATGCTTATCAGTGAGCAATTGAAGACCTGTACTGGATATGGCGACCTGTTCCTCAATTATAAGTTTATAATTACACCTGGATTTTGATATAGGATGCAAAATAAGCGGTTTCATTTCCCACCATTTCGATTACCTAACAACGTGCCATCGGTGTATACAGATCACTCAAGTTTGGTCATTAGGTGGGCTCTTATGTTTTCTCTTTGTTTCTGATTTATCATGCAATATTGATTCTGCTAGGTCATGGATGTGCTTATGTCCTTGCAAGGCTCACAAATGGAGGCAGATGATCCAACAACAAGCTACATGCTACAAGTATGTTCTTGATACTGCATTTATTCAGAAAACGAGATGTAAATTATGTAAAATATGTTATGATGGTTTTCCTATTATTCTGTAGGCATGGGCCAGACTTTGCAAATGTTTGGGGCAAGATTTCCTCCCATACATGAGTGTTGTCATGCCTCCTTTGCTTCTGTCTGCCCAATTGAAGCCAGATGTGACAATTACATCTGCAGATTCAGATAATGAGATTGATGATTCTGATGATGAAAGGTACAGCTGATTATCCAGCGCTTGATAGCCTCACGATCTACAGTAACTTAACTACTGTTTTTTACTGGTTAGAGACTTATAGTATTTCAAATCATAACTGGATTTAGTGTATTTTATTAAATTTTTGTTTGTGTCTTCCAACTAAAAACACTACAGCACATGCATGCTACAAAGCTTGTTTTTCGTGATACTTTGTACAGACTATGCTACTAAGAAATAACAAATGCTTGTGACAGTATGGAGACCATTACTCTTGGGGACAAAAGGATTGGCATCAAGACTAGTGTCCTGGAAGAAAAAGCTACTGCTTGCAATATGTTATGTTGTTATGCTGACGAGCTTAAAGAAGGCTTCTTTCCATGGATAGACCAGGTTAGTTCCCGATTTACATTTGAATTTTATTGCTGTAGTTGTAAACAACAATTGCAATTTTTAACTTGGCACATCTACCGTACAGGTTGCCCCAACTCTAGTTCCTCTTCTCAAGTTTTACTTCCATGAAGAAGTAAGAAAAGCTGCCGTATCAGGTACTTGCCTGATCATTGTAGTGGACTAGTGGTTGCTCCTCCAGTGAAGTCTTGGGTCCATATGTAACATCATCGCTATTCCGTGAAACTTCTCTTTCGATCCCAGCAATGCCAGAGCTCCTTCGGTCCGCAAAATTAGCTGTGGAGAAGGGAATAGCACAAGGCCGGAATGAAGCTTATGTTAAACAGCTGTCTGACTACATCATTCCAGCTCTGGTTGAAGCATTACATAAGGTGGTTCTGGTTACAATTTATTCAACTACTTCCTGTTTAGGGGCTGTATGTCAACACCTTTACTATTTCCATTAGAGGGTGCTATCAGAATGCTAGGTTGTTCTATAAGAGCATCTACTTTAAGTAGAACGATCTGTTATGGGATGGAGCTGTTTATATATTCACCTAATAAGCACATCGTCCACACCCTAATCAAATTGTGCTATCACATTCACTTCGTATTGTGACTGATCAAGTTCTTGAATTTGATTGTAGGAACCTGATACTGAAATCTGCGCTAATATGCTGGATGCATTAAACGAATGCTTACAGGTTTGTCGACGCCCTAATCTATGTTGATTTGTAAGACTCAAGTCTAGTGGCTTCGACATTTCCTACTTGTGAAGTTTGTCTAATATGTATACATATTCATTGGCGCAAAACTGTTTATGACATCAACCTCAGTAAATATTTGATACCACTACTCTTATTAATGTTAGATATATATCTATTTTCTCCCTTAATTCTTCCTATCAAAAGTGAGCTGGAGGTGCTGAAGCTAATCGTTGAAGTTGAATTTTCTTCCAGATATCTGGCACACTTGTTGAGGAAAGTCAGGTACGATCAGTTGTTGATGAGATTAAGCAAGTAATCACGGCTAGCTCAAGTAGAAAGAGAGAGAGGGCAGAGAGAGCCAAAGCTGAAGACTTCGACGCGGAGGAGGGAGAGCTGATTAAGGAAGAAAATGAGCAAGAGGAGGAAGTATTTGACCAAGTTAGTATAGAGGCGGTTCTTGTTCTTTACTCTGTTGTTGCGATGTTGGCCCAATGTTAATGGAAATTTGTGGTTGCAGGTTGGTGAAATATTGGGTACTCTGATCAAGACATTCAAGGCTTCTTTCTTGCCTTACTTTGATGAGTTATCATCATACCTCACTCCTATGTGGGTAAGTTCTCCTGATACTGGTTATGTTGCTTGCTCTAATGTGGATTGTTTCCTTAAATCTCTTTGGGGCAAGTGTTAACTAGAAATGTGTATTATTGCGATGAGTGGTATGTTTTTCTGGGAAGTTTTATTTTCTTATCTGCACTAGACATATTGCTATGTTATTCATTTTCCTAATTAACTTATTACCGAAAAATAGTTTATGATTGTATTTTCTTTTGTGTCGTTGGACTTACGTGTTTTCTGTATTTAGGGCAAGGATAAGACACCTGAGGAGAGAAGGATTGCCATTTGTATTTTTGATGATGTTGCAGAGCAATGTCGTGAGTCAGCTTTGAAGTAAGCTCCCATTTCTTGAATTCCTAATAAGGTTCCTGGTACTATTACCTTTATGACCTTACTATGTTTTTATGCTACAGATATTATGATACTTTCCTACCGTTTTTACTGGAAGCTTGCAATGACGAGAATCCAGATGTTCGACAGGTCCAAAGTCCATAATTTCTACTGAATGATTATGTGTTTAGTATACTTCTGGTCTGGTCACCAATGTCCTGATCCATGTTTAGCTGTAAACTTTCAGGCAGCTGTTTATGGACTGGGTGTATGTGCAGAATTTGGTGCGAACATGTTCAAGCCTCTTGTAGGAGGTATGCATTTTGTGATCTCTTGAAGTTGCTTTAATTTGCAGCCTGAGGTATAATCCAAATTTGTTGCTGTCTTCTGTTAATAACATATCTTGGTTGCTTTTTTCCAGAATCACTTTCGAGATTAAATGTCGTTTTACGGCACCCTAATGCTAAGCTAGCCGAAAATGTTATGGCATATGACAATGCTGTTTCTGCTTTGGGGAAGATTTGCCAGTTCCATCGGGACAGTATTGATGCTTCTCAGGTATAAATATATGCATGCTTTGTTGATTTGGTTCCTGTCTGTCGGAATCATTTACTGTTATAGTTCTTTCTATACAGACAAATGAGGGAAGTGATGGCTGAGCAATTATACATGAATTGAGATCTCCTAGCTTCGCACATAACTCCCCCCATAGAGATTTCAAAGCCGAATTTTGAATTTTCTTGTCCTGGGCTTTGTCGTTGCCATCTCATTAGTTAAATTGATCCTCTCTTGTTTGTGCAGGTTATCCCAGCATGGTTAAATTGTTTGCCAATCACAGGTGATCTAATCGAAGCCAAAGTTGTCCATGAACAACTTTGTTCAATGGTGGAGAGGTAGGGCGTTGCATATACAAATCCTTTCATAATGTGGAGCTTGTGTTGATCCGGTGGCGGCTTCTTCTGTAATATCAGTAATCACCCTTTTCCTGCATCTCTACAGGTCAGACGGTGAAATTTTGGGCCCGAACAACCAGTTTCTTCCAAAGATTGTTTCAGTATTTGCTGAGGTTAGTTTTGTACTTACATGTATACGGATCTTTAAAAGGTTTTTTTGTGCAAGTCGATGCCTATAATTATGGGCAAATTGTAACTACTAGACTTTGTGATTGTTTAATCTTTGAAAAACGGACTTGCAAAAAACCAAATTTATTTTGGTGATGAATGCTTTTGAAAATTGGATTAAGACGCTTGCTTTTCTTGATCGGAAATCTCTAATTTGATTGTAGGTTCTCTGTGGGAAGGACCTAGCTACAGAAAGTACCGCAAGTCGAATGGTTAATCTGCTAAGGCACCTGAAGCAGACCTTACCACCAGATACCTTGGCCTCAACTTGGTCTTTGCTACTTCCTCAGCAACAGATGGCATTGCAATCGATACTCCCATCGTGAGTTGAAGGAGAGAATCTATTTTTTATGGTTCCGCGGTATGGCGATGATGATGCAACAAGCGAGCCGAGCTGTGTGGTGTTGCTTGGAAATATATAATTGTTTTACTCTCATTCTTTGCATAAAGATGGTGTTCTCCCCATCAATCGTTTCTCTGCATTTTATGGTCAACTGCAGCAAGGAAAAAGCTGGTGGTGTCAGTCTGGTTGGGATTGAGAGTAAGAAGTAGAGTCGTTCTGGTTGAAAAAGAAAGCCTTTGCCTCTTCTTTTGTTTTGAATCCTTCTCTTGTAGAGAATAGAATGTGTATATGTTTATTGTCAGTGTCCAGAAACAGAAGGACAAGTTTTGAGTTGGGAAGAAAAGACTAGGAAGAAAAGCGGATTTTGAGTCTAGTCAGCAGCATTGAGTGAGAGATCAGAGAAGGTTCCTTGAGGGGATATCACATCCATGGTGGAAAGTAGGTCCCCTCTTTGGCACAGTTTTGTTTCATTACGCATTGATGGTTGTGGAGTCGTGTATGGATTGGAAATTTTGATTGGTGATTCTTTCAGTAATACACTTTCGGGATTTTGAACTTTATTGTTGCGGTTTGAAGATGGATGGAATCACTAGTTAGATCATATTATATGACATATATGTTACTCATTAAGTTGATGAATGAGCGAGGGTATGAGTAACATACATTTATTTTTAAAAAGATAGAAGTTAGTGTCTTTTGGGTTGAATTATGCATTATCGCTAACTGACTTACGCTTTTTTGCAATAGATAGTTCAAAATGTGCCTTGTAACTTTTGTTTCCGCCGGTGTTAAAGAATTAGTTGAACCAATGATTGTAAAATTGTATCGACAAAGTTGGTGGTAGAGTATTTTATACTGAAGTCCTAATTTAACCGCGATTCAACTATTTCATATTGCTAAATATCACCTACCGATTTAACATATGGTGTCAAGTTTTATGGTTGAACCGCCGGTACGTACGATTTTTCAATTCAAACTTCAAATTAAAAATCACTAAAATATTGACATTATCGAATGCCCCTTAAATCTAAAAAATTATAATAATAGTATTAAGAAAAAAAATCATTCAAAACGATAATTTATTTAGGATTTTAAATTGAAATGGAAAAATCTGTCAAATATAATGTCATCCTCTAAAATAAATCAAAACTCAACAGAATAGGCCAACAATACTCACACTAAACAAAGCGGAAGGAAAATTATTTCACACTGCCTCATTCCCCCTCCCCTCCCTTCTCACTCTCTCTTTGCCTTCTTCTTTCTTTTTCCGTTTTGTTCTTCCATCTCTCTCTCTCTGAGCTTTCACCACTCTCCCCTTTTCCCTTCCTCGTCTTTCCACTGCTGGAATCGAGAGAAACCTAGAAACATTTAAATTACTTCTCCAATTTTGCGTTTGAAATTATTCTTCTCCATTCACAGTCGATAGTTTGAATCAGAGCATCTGAAACCTAACGAACATATGGCCGCTTGTTCTTCGACGGAGCAAAGTAGTTTGATAACATGTGAATAAACTAATTACTAAAAGTGTTAAACCAATCAAGGTATCCAAAAAATCAAAATGCATAAACACATGAGTTCAGCAATATAGACTGTGTGGTGCTCACACTTGTGCGCGAGCCCTTGGCGTTTAAGTCTGGTACGACCCATGAAACATTCATGATTGTACATGCCTGATTCATATATTGTACTCATAGTATGTGCCTAGGTATGAGCTAATTGTGTCGGGCTAGCTCAACCATGTGCCTAAGTATAGTAATAATTTATATGCATTCTAATAATTAAGGTTCCACCTATTCACACCACCAAGATAAAAAAACAATCATACATGCACCCATTATTCGATTTTGACTACCTGATGAAATACTACATTTGAGCCAACTACCACTGATGTTGCAAATAATAATTATACCTCTAAATCAGAAATAAAATATTTCAAACATCACAAATATTAAGATTAAATTAATTATTATAAAGAGTAAAATATACTTATGTATTTTGTCTAAACTAAAATGCACAAACATATTTATATCTTAAGTTATTAATGTTTGAATCAATGTTACTTGAGTTTCTATTTAAGAAGTAATCTCTTTATATAAAATATAAATAACTTAAGATAAAATATAAATATAGAAGCGTCATCACCAAACATATTTCTAGAGTTTAATCAAAGAATTAAAAATAAATACAATGTAGCCTAGTTGGTTATAATGTTATTTCTTCATTTATTAAGTGATCAAGGTTTGAATTCCAATGATAATATTTTTAATATATAAAGATGATTTGAGTGCAATGACAAAAATGACTTTTTTAGAATCACTCTCAGGCTACTGAATTTAAAATGGGATAATTCCAATCCATGTTTTGTCTTTATATATTTTGTAGATAAAAGTGCATGTTGTTTTGAAGAATATGATTTGTTTTAAAAAAAAATTCTGAAATAAAATATAAAATATAAATAATTATGTGGAAAAAACTAAGGATTGTAAAATCGTATCGGAGGTTGTATCAGAAAAGTAAGTGATAAAATAACCCTCTAGCGAAAGCTTCTAAAAAATTATTCGACTTGTGGTTTAACCGTAATTGAACAACTCATACCACCAAATGCCCCTACCATATAGATCCGATAGAAAATTTTCTTGTCGAACCACCGGTACGATATGATTATTCGTTAAAAATCTGTACATACATTATTTTTCGGAAAAAATTATACATACTAAATACTGCTAAAAAAACACGAACGAGTTACAAAATTAAATTGTAGCGTGTGTTTGAAAAGACAAAGTTCATTCCACAGGATAAAGAAGAAGCAAAGGCGGAATGAAACATCAAATGAAAAAAAGAGGGCTAACAAATTGGAACGCAGCGTTTGATTTAAAGTGAGTGAAATTACTAAGTCACCCTACCGAGAAATGCTCTTAGAGCAACAAAATTCAAATGGAGAAAAACATACTCATGAATCTCCATTATATATTGTCTAGATATATGAATGGTTGACGTAAGAAATTGACCTAAAATGTGCCAAAGACGGGGTGACGCGGGGCGGGGCAAGACATATCTGAAGTTGATACCTATCCCCCTCCCCACACTATTGGGAGTTAGGTAATACTAGCCCCAATGTGGATCAGATCGGATAATACTCGACGGGGCGAGTCCAAACTGTCATCACTAGAAGCAACATTGAAGAAAGGGCTCTTGGGTGTTGGGGTGACTAAGACATGTCTGTTTGACCTTTGCAATCAAGGGTATGCTTTGGTTTGATTGTATCGGATTGAAAGAAAATCCGAGAGCAAGATTCAAAGTTGAAGTGTGTTTGATTAATTGTAGTTCAGTCGTCTCGAGTGAAGTTGTATATTATTTTTTCTTATGAAGATCAACGTGATGAGGATGATTAAGTTTTGGGATTTTGAGATTTGAAATTGATGAGAACCATAAAATTTTGGAATTTTGAAATTTGAAACTAACTTGTGTTGTGTGATGTATATAATTACGCTGTAACATAATCACGAAACCTACAATTCGAACCTGTTGAGGACATGCAAAACGAATCTCAGCTAACAACACAAAATAAGGGCATATGATATGACAACCACACAAACCGAAGAAGTCACTACCACATACAATATAACTCCAAGCGACCACAAATCAGCAGTGTGGTTATATGGATGCTCCCGCACCAGTTCTGGAGCCATATATAAGGGTGTTCCTCGTGAGCAGCATCAATATTAGAGCCACGCGTTCGAAGGCAGTAATGGAGGTTTTTTTGATGCAGTAAACATGAAAAACTATATTGCACAAGCACCTTTTATTGGTCCGAGAACGAACGTGTTATTAGACATTGCATGCAAACCCAAAATCTCAAAGTTGTCATGAGCGGTGAGCCATAACAAGTAGTGAATACACCAGTTGCATTTATTTAACCATCCTCTAAAATAGTTATGATGAGCAACAGTTGCTAAACTCGAACAAAATAAAAACACAAGAAAGAGTAGATTACAGAGTACATGCAAAATGTTAGGGGTATGCCAAAGAGGGCCAAAGAGGGCCCAACAAAGCCTATTGAGACAGGGATAGGCTACCCAGTGGGAGAAGCCCATAAATAGGCCCACGAAGCTCTGTCCATGAAGATGAAAGATGCATGAAGACAAAACACTAAAGGCTCCAAAGAAGTCCAGGCTGTCAAACGGTCCCCCGCCTATGGGCGCCTGCCAGCTGTCAGAAGCCTGACAAGGTGGTTGAGGCTTCTGACAGGAGTGAAGGTACAAAACATTTAATGAGATGGTGACGTGGAGGAGATCCATCCCGAACCCGGTGAGTATAAATAGAGGCAGTTGGTAGCATTTACACATGGGGGACTCTCTCACTAAAACTCTTGCTCTAAAGCACTTCTCTCTCTAAATACTGAATTGATCGTTGGAGGGCTAACGGGCCCAGGCGCTCCCCTCTGTGCTCGTGTGTAGGTCAGGTGCCTAAGGATTGGCTAGCAGGACCAAGACGCACTAAGGAGCGGGCTTCAAGGTGAGGTGCCTAAAGAGCCTAAGGTGTGACCAGTGAGACGAATGTATTTGGGCACAAACACAAAACATAACAAAATGCTCATGATTTTTTTAATGGGCAAATGCTCATGAATTTATAAGCTAATAGCACGAAAGGAAACGAGGCATCTCTTGTGGATGCATATGTGAAGCACTAAAATGGAGATTAGTACGTTAAAATTTACAAGTCAAATATCCCGAGCAAACTTGGATTTAAAATATCTAGAGCTAACCTTAACAATTGAACCAGAACAGATGAGTATGTTCTGCGGTTTTGTATCTCTATTGATGATTCAGTTTGAGTGGCTTTGCAATAGCCTGGACTTGTTCTTTAGAGAGGCATTTATTGGAAAAAAAAATCCTAAAATACACATGTTTTTGAAAAAAATTCCCAAAGTACACATGTTATATTTTTTTTTTCTTTCAAAATACACATGTTTGGGCATCACTGGTGTCTCAACCGTAGTGAATGCATTCACCGCGGCAGACGAAAGCGGTGAATGCATCACCGCGGTTGACGGCCGCGGTAAATGCCTGACGTAACACTGAAACTTCAAACAAACGTAACTTTGTGCTCCGCTATTCGATTTTAGCGATTTTTTAATTCCACATAACTTTTCAAGATCTTTCAATCTGCAACAAGCATTCATCCCAAAAATATTCGTTTGCTACCCCGAACGAACAATTTTTCAATTTTGACAAACTTTGGAAGACCATAACTTTGTGCTACGCAATCCGAATGCATGAAACTTTTTTTGATTTTGCATAACCTTTGAGGGACTACAACTTTGATTATAACCATAATTTTGGAATGTATGTGGATTTGTGAAAAGTAAAGGCAACATTATTCCCAAAATCCCATATACCCAAAAATACTTCTATTTTTTTTAAATTCCTAGTAAAAGTTGTAGTTCTTAAGAAGTTATGCGCAATAAAAAAAAACTTTACGACGTTCGGATTGAAGATCTAAAAGTTATGGGCTTTCAAAGTTTGGAAAAATCGAAAAAATGCTCATTCGGGGTAACAAACGACATTTTTTTGAGATGAAGCCTTGTTGCAGATTGAAAGATCTTGAAAAGTTATGCAGAAAAAATCGCTACAATCGGATAATCGAGTGCAAAATTATATTCATTTGAAGTTTCGGTGGTAGGTCAGGCATTCACCGCGGCCGTCAACCGCGGTGATGCATTCACAGCTTTCGTCTGCCGTTGTGAATGCATTCACTACGGTTGACAGCCGCAATAATGTCAAAACATGTGTATTTTGGAAAATTTTTTTATAACTTGTGTATTTTGAGATTTTTTTTGTTGAAAACATGTGTATATATTTTGGGATTTCTTCCGCATTTATCATCCTCTAGTATCTTAAGTAGTTCACTGTGTAGCTTACTATACATCTTAAGCGTAATACCTATGCAAATTATGTCACAACACATAGTTCTTGAGTACTCTCAAAAGGGTCAAGCATTTCGATAACATTTTCATGCTTCACATCTATTATTTGTATTGAGACGATCCCGACGAATCTAAACAGTTGATTTTCATTTTTAGATTAAATAATCTTATGGTTTGGCTTAGAGAATTGGGGACTGGGGTTCACCCATCAGAGTTTAGGGTATACTATCATGCCCTAAACTCTAGTTAATTCAGGTATAAGGCGCACGATAAGGTAAGAGTACGACTGCGTTCACGCTATCATATTTCCGTTGAGTTTTACTATTTAGATTTTAGAGCACAAATTAATCGGAGTTTGGGGCATGATACTATACCCTAGCTAACCTCTAATAGGTGAATCTCATTTCCTAATTCTCTAGGGGTTGCTAATTGTCGCCCTAGTATTATTTTAATCGCCCTGATTTAAAAATTGGAATTACCTTTTTACCATTCAAATTTTTATTGTTGTCCGATATTATATTTTAACAAAGCAATTCGTTCAACAATAAAAAAATTAATCGTTGCCATTATTGGCCACCACCAAGATAGAGCGATCCCAAAACTGTTACTCTGCGAACTGGATGGGATATGTAGTCGAAGCAAGCGCGGCCTCAGCTACTTCAGATCGGCAAATTAAAGGCAGCAAGTGAATAAATTCTCCTCCACATGAGCGTCGATTATGAAAGCGAAAGAACTGCCGGCAACGAGGCAAACCAGGGGATAGGCCGCACTAAGCTGCTTACTGAAAGTTGCCGGCGACGAGGCGAACCACACTTAGACCTCGAAGCCCGCTGGTGGAATGGTAATTGCAATGATGAAACTTATTAAAACTGTCCTATTAAAATGGACAATCCCGAGCTACAAGATTCATTTAATTTAAAAAGAATAATTGACAAATCTTATTCTACAAAATATATTAAAGTGCAAATAACAAGTGTGAACACATACGTATAATATATAACAAACGTATGCTATCTTTTGCCACATATACACAAAAGTTCATTGATGATATCGTGGAGTATCAGCCACAAAACGATGGGCTTGCTGGTTGTAGCAAAATAGGGCTTACCTTCTGTAACAAAAGGTAAAGGCAAATGTGACATGTTTCGCACCTTTCCTCATTTCCCATTATAGTCTAAAATTAGATTGTACCCGACCCGTTAGTTGGGTGAAATTTGTTTTATTTATATAATATTTATATTTTAAATGATTTAAAATATTTATAATCTATATATGATTTGAAAATAATATTTGTTGTATTCATGGTTGGTGATATTGCGGGTAATTAGGTATTTTATTTATCAGTTTGTGAATGGGGCCTACGGTCTTGAAAATCTCACCTCTTTATGTGGAAATTGATCATGAACTTTGAATTCCATCATTTTTACCAACCTACCCCTCATATTTTCTTTCTCTTCTTATATCATTGAGTGCAATAAAGGTAAACTTTATTTCATAACAAACAAATTTAATTAACAAAATCCATCATGAAATCTATGAAACAAATAATTGTGTTTTTCAAATCCATAATGAGCCACAAATCCTTATATATCCATGATTTTTCAAAACTCAAATTATGCCAAAACTTCATTTTTCAAATTCACGAAGCAAACAACCCTCCATAATTAACAAATCAACCCTAAATTTATTGGTACCTATGCTCTTAAAATAAAAGTATGCTCATTCATCTTCAAAAAAAACAAAATTTTGTTTATCAAAGTAAACTTGTGACTTAAAGGGTTTAATTTGGCCTATTTTAAAATCGAGAGATCTGATGAAAGTTGATGGATCTAATGGAATCTTTTTACAAAGATAAAAAGGAAGAATTTCTTATGGAAGGAGAAAAACCTTGCTGAAACAGGACAAAAACTAACCCTCGTCCTTGGGTTTGCTTTCCCTCGATCTTTGCACATTCATTCACTGGCTGAAGTCGTTGGAGCATCTGAGTTGGGAGGAGCATTGGTCCTCTCGCTCTCTTGTATTTTGGTTTTTCTTTTAATATCGATTTTTGCCTGCCTTAAACAAAAAATCTTGTTCCTCTCGAGAAACCAAGCTGAGCTCCCTCACTTCATCCCCACCATCCCTTCTCTCCTTTTCTTCTCTCTCTCCCTCTCTCTCTCATTCCATTTAGTCGGTTCCAAAGAAGAGATGGGAGAGCAGCAGAAGCAGGCTCAACCACTTGGTGTCTGGCACACCATCAAGCCGTTCGTTAATGGCGGTGCCTCTGGTATGCTCGCCACCTGCGTCATTCAGCCCATCGATATGGTCAAGGTACTCCTTCCTTCCCTCACTTTGGTTGTAGGGTTCCTTCCTCTATATCAGTCCTGATTTTCTCTGCGCGAATGATAGTTTGCTGCTATTCATTTAGATCTGGGGCTTGATGGGCTTTTCGTGATTCTTTGGTTTGGTGTGGCTTATTGATTTAATTGCTTGTTGCTGCTTGTTTGTGTTTTATAGGTCAGGATCCAATTGGGTCAGGGATCAGCATCCTCTGTGGCCTCGACGATGCTCAAGGAGGAAGGTATTAGGGCCTTTTACAAGGTATGTCTATTCATCGCTGACAATTTGAGCTTTGATGATTTAGTGCTGGAATGATCTGCTATAGCTTCTCATTCTGGACCTCTGAGATCCCAGTTTCTGCCAAATTTTAGATCTTTGCTCTTCTGCAGTTCTGTGCTCTTAGTTGTGAGCAGAACGGCTGTATGTCTTGTCGTTGTCGCTTCTTATCACTTGCAATGATTGATACTTGCCAACTTGTTCTGGAATATAACAATTTTATCAGGACGAAATCATGAGGGTGGGTTTAGCATGTGATTATCTTTCGGCTTCTTAGTGCAGTTAAAGGTTGCCATTTTTCTTATTTTTTGGGTAATTGGTAGTTTGCTACTATTCCTTTGTAGTGCCCGGTCAATCTGCTTTTAGTTATGTTCCAGATTTGGATTTGTGCTCTTCAGCAGTTTTAGTTGTTTCTTTGTACAAGCGGAACAATTAGAATTGTGTCACTTCTTTCCATTGCAATAAATGATACTTGTAGGACGTTCAGGGGCTTGGCGATTTGGATCAGGACTGATCATGATTGAGTGTGAAGATTCTTTCTTCAGACAGACTGAATCGTTTTAGATGGTCTTATCTTTTGGCTTCTTAACGCAGTTAAAGATCATAAGTTGATAACTAGATTCTTGATTTTTTTTTATCACATGATATCCAACTATATGGTAATTGGGCAGGGTCTGTCTGCTGGACTACTGAGGCAAGCCACCTACACAACTGCCCGACTTGGATCATTCAGGTGAGTGTTTTGTAATGTCAACATTTTCACCTCATGCTCTCTTTCAGAAAACATGCTTTTCTGTTATTTGCTATTTTCAGAGATTATGTTACTTAGTTTTCCTCGTAAAGGAATAAGTGCAGAGCCTGATGGTTGAAATGTTACGTCTCTTTAAAGTTGCTTCGTCATGTGGTACTATTGTACTAAATAATGTTTATCCTTTTGCCAGGATGTTGACCAACAAGGCGATCGAGGCGAATGAGGGGAAGCCTCTTCCTCTGTATCAGAAGGCATTGTGTGGATTAACTGCTGGTGCTATTGGAGCATGTTTTGGAAGCCCTGCAGATTTAGCACTCATCCGTATGCAGGCTGATGCCACTTTACCCGCCGCTCAGCGTCGGCATTACACCAATGCCTTCCATGCACTTTCCCGTATTGTGGCAGATGAGGGTGTTTTGGCTCTTTGGAAGGGTGCAGGCCCTACTGTTGTCAGGGCAATGGCTTTGAACATGGGAATGCTTGCTTCATATGATCAAAGTCTTGAGCTCTTCAGGGATAACCTTGGTTTCGGTGAAATTCCTACAGTTGTAGGTAAATTTCCACCATCAGTTAATGCTTTCCGAAGGTTTCATGTCATATCATTATCCTATTCATTCTAGGAAGTCAATTTTTAATTCTCACAAGTGGATCTAGGTTGGTGTTTTTTTATTGAATTTGCATGTGATTTTCCTGATCAGAACGTAACATATAGAAGTGCCATTTTAAGCTCTTGGGCCTCTGATTGAACTCAGTTTGCTGGTCTCAACTAATTTATCTGTTTTTTGTTTCGAGTTCTCAGGTGCTAGTGCCATTTCTGGGTTCTTTGCTTCAGCTTGTAGCCTTCCATTTGACTATGTGAAAACACAGATTCAGAAGATGCAACCTGACGCTGAGGGAAAGTATCCATACACCGGTTCCCTCGACTGTGCTATGAAGACTCTCAAGGCCGGTGGACCACTGAAATTCTACACTGGATTCCCTATTTATTGTGTTAGGATTGCTCCCCATGTCATGGTATGACTAATCTCATCGCATCTCTTTTGTCGATCACTTTGATCTTAGTACTTCTCGTGATTACACTATACTGATTGTTCGGTATTTGGATTGTGCAGATGACTTGGATATTCCTGAACCAGATCCAGAAGGCGGAGAAGAAAATCGGATTATAGTTGATATGAGAGATGGGGGAGTTTCCTGGTAGTGCAGTTAAATGAAATAACGCACCAAATATCTTTGGATGATATGATGCATTGGTTTGTAGACTTTGTTTGGGGGGTTTACTGTTTGCTGGGTTAATTTGTGGGGGCAAGGCAAGAGAGACATTGTTTTTGGGACACAATGTTTACAATTGCACTGATGTAGGACGTTCTTTGTATCTCTAGACTTTCTTTTTTGGCCGTTTAGATTGATCCATTTTCACCTTTTGGATTCGAAGAGAGTTCTTTTATCGGTCTCAGAAGATGACGATATGGTGAAGGAAAAAAATAATTTTTGCACTCTGGGGTATCATAAGTTACTCCTCGAGGAGATGTGATTCATGATCTGATAAATTGCATCTGATTTCAATGTCATCATTTGCCTTGAATTGTGATGGTGGTTTTTCCTTTCATAAGAAGTCTATAGGCTTGGACGATGCACAAGATAATAGGGTAAATGACAAGATTGTTCACTAGAATTATTAACAAGTTTCACATTTGGTCCCTAAAAATATATAATTTCAACAGTTTAAGTTGAATCACTCTCTATTAACTTTCATTAGTCTCTATTAACGACGTTAATTATTTGATGACGTGGCTAACAGAAGTGTCCAGTCAACCTATTTTAATCCAAAACGATTTATATCTGACCCGCCACATGGGATACCCAGTCAAACCTAACCCAACCAATGACAGGAACCCTAGCCTCCGTCTGAGAAAAAAATCCCGATCCCCAAATCTCTCCACCTCCTCGCTATTCTCGATCTCTCTGGGCGGGATTTTCCTCACCCTCTTGGCGACCAGATTGACAGTGATTACCTCCTTCTAGGAGTGGAAGCAAAGAGGAAGACGTTGCCGCTGGCGGTGAGGAAGTAGAGGCTCTCCCCTGGGCAGATCACAGGTCGGATCTAGTCGCCAAAACGGCATGGAAAAGTAGAGCAGTATGCTTCAACTTCACCCAGAACTCGAAGCTCCATCCGGCCATTCAACGAAGCATCTCTAATCAAATTCGCCCGCATCCTCCTGAATCAAGCTCTACCGATCGACAGTGACGGTGGCCTCAACTTTCCACTCGCTGTGTATTACGAGGGTTCAGGAACCCCTGCTAACCCGCTGTCACCATCAATTGGGTTTGGGTGAAGTTCGATTATGAATTCAAAAACACCGTTCTGTGCAATTGGGAGAAATAGCTTGTGTCGTGAAAGTTGATTGGGGCAATTGAATTACGAAGTAGTTGATTGGGGCATTTTTAGTGCAAATCCGATGACTAAATTAGTATATTACACTCTTAACCTTCTAGAACATGAGTACCAAAAATTCTAAAATCCAAACCACCACATTGTTCCAAAATAAAAGCAATGTCACACGAGTCTGAACATGAAACAAGAGTCTCAAACATGGAAACCACTGAAAGTCTCAAACTCAAACAACTATCAAATACAACTTCAACATCATCTGATTCACCACCACTAGCATAAGATGAATCACTGCTTGAGGACACCATGCCAATTGTTGTGCTACCATCATCTCCATCATCGTCTGATAAGAAAACAAAAAATATGTTAGAAATCATGAGTTAAAAATGTATCAAAGTTGAACGTTTTTCATTTACTAATATGTCAATCCAACCTTCATTGTGACCTCTTTTCCTACTTGTAGCTCCACTTTCTCTAGGAATGTCATTAACATTATTCTCAGCCATATCTTGCATCAACTCATCAAAACTAAGATCTAGAGTTGGATCATCTTCCTCATCCATAACCCAAGATTCTGTGGCATTAATCCATTCATAGTCAAAAGGATCAACCAAGAACTTGCTATTTCTAGCACGAGACCTATGAATGATTGAACACAAGCCACATATGTCACTATTTCATGGCATAAATATTTTGTCATAAAATATTTTAACACATATTTTGGCATAAATCAAACTTTTCAACACATAAGGCATAAAATATTTTAAATATTTAAGTCTAAAAACAACTACAAACATAAAAAAAATCCACCATTTGGAGCTTGCAATTATAGTATTTTGGTTTTTTGGTCGGAAATTTGATTCGGTTGAGAAAATCCTGATTTCCTAACTATCCATATTTTTTGTCTCTGAATCGAATAGCATTAATTTGATTTTGGTTCGGTTTAATTCGGGTTTGGTTCGGACCCAAACCGGTTTCCCACCCCTACGTACCATCACAAATTTCGTGCAATTTTTTTTGAAAAAACCATTTTATTTGGATTTTGAAGGCTACGGATTCGGCCCGAGAAGACTAGTCCAAAGTCCACGAAAAAGAATACCTGATATGATCCAAATTGGCCAACTCTACAAGTCACAGTTACTTGCCAAATAAGCCATTTCAACTCATATGAAGAATTCTGATTTCTGGCCAAGTGTTTTAGCTATTTCAGGTAGCCGACTTTGCAAGCCTATTTCTCACAATTGGGTCAATGAAAATTCATTATTAATGGATTGTGCTTGGAATCTCGATGAAAATTCAGGAAGGTCATTTTCCAAGCTGCTCAAAAGTGTATGCCAAAACATGAAAATTGCTAGAATTTGGTTAAGGTAGAAAACGTGTTCATGAACCCTACTTTGGAGCTTAATTCGAGAAGCATGGATGAGAGTTGAGTCCAGAGGCTTCTACCACATGAAACTAGGTATGTTTGTCTACAAAGGCAAGGCATTGGATGAAGAATTGGAAACCTGGAAGGCTTCGAACGAAAGGCTTGAAGATTGTATGAAGTCACAAAAATTTGAATAGTAAAACAATGGTTTTGTTTTCCTAGTTCAATTAGGATTAGGTTCTTTTGCTACTTTTTAGTTCCTTTTTGTATTAGATTGTAATTAGGATTAATTAGGACGTGTGTAACCATAGCTAGGCCTATTTAAACATCTTGTTTCGTTGTAAAACTAAGACTTTGTTGAATCGAATTGAGAATCTTTTGGTTTTGTGCAAGTTGCAACTTGTGTTGGATTTGGCGGATTCCAAACTTGATGAGCTTGTGTATCGATTGATAGCCCCTTCAATCGTGGTCGAGCAACTACCCTTCTATACCATACGAGCTTTCCCTAGGTGTGACATTGTCCTTTGTATCCGTTTTATCTAATTTCGTATTAAGAACGCGTTGTTCTTGATTCGAGTTCAATCAATTGTCGGATTAATTGTTGCTGCATAACTTTGATCACATACAAACCCCCTAGGGTCATATCAATACCTATCTTCATAAGAAACCTGGGTTCAAAATGAGTATAACGGATGGATGATATGTTGTTTGACAGGAAGAGGAGTTTGGATGAGATGGAAGTGATGGAGGACAAGGGCATCCGACGCCCAATAAGCTTTGTTTTGAGGAGAGCAAAGAAGACAAGGATGAGGATTTGCCGGTGGAGGAAGCCAACCGTGAGTGGCCCCAATAAGATAAATGAAATAATATTTTGGAACTGGACCTGCTTCGACAGTTTGACATATTTTAGCTTTGGATGATCAGTTTTTCTGGATGAATTGTGTCTTTCAGAAACAATGTCTTGTAGAAATGTCATAGTTAGTAAAATGAGTCGTTTAAGGTTTAATAAGTCTGATTTTGTTAGTTGTACTCGCGAAATGGCAGGTTTAGAGGGAGTTATCTCATTGCACCTATTGCAACCGTATATGGGAACGTCGCATCCGCTTCGGAGTCACCATTGATCTTGCTTGGAGTGGATAAACACTCTTTTGTCGGCTCTAACCTTAGTTTCAGAATCGAGACTTGGTATACAAAATAATAATCTAGGTTTTGGAGTACGGTTACGTGGGGCAGATGAATTCACACGCCACAACGTTCAAAATCGTTACTACTTAAATTTGATAATTTTGTGTTGGATATTTTTAATAATTATTGTGCATTTTAAGGTCCCATTGGACTGTTAAAGAATTTAAATATTATTAGTTATAATTTAATTACACTATGATTAATATAAAATTTAAAGTTAAAGTTAATCAATTAGTTGTACTCGAAGGTTCATTATTACCCGTTATACGAGATCAAATTCCACGTATTTAGTACGATAATTTTGGTAGGTTTAATCATTACTTTTTTATCACGTTCTTGTTAATAAAATTTAGAGTAATATCTATTTTTTATCCAAACCTTTTTCCAGATTCTTTTATATTATCCAAACCTATCAAAATACTAAGAATTAGCCAAATGTTAACTTCGAATTAGCAATTTTGTTAGTAATATTGACTTGATAACATGATACTATCTTGGAATAGACACATGAAAGTCAACATTTCAACATTTTATTATTTTAACTAAGAAAATAGCTACAAAATTATTAACGATAACGTAAAAATGACTAATATTTTGATGCATTATGAAAGATTTGGCTAATTAATAGAATTTGAATAGGTTTGAATAATATAAAAGAATCTTAAAAATATTTGGATAAAAATTAGACATTATCCTTAAATTTAAGTAGAGATTGTTATGAAGTTTATAAAGATAAAACGTATGAATGTCACTAAAAAATATTTCATGTATTAGGAAAGAAACGCAATTCACCCTAGAGATTTTTTCAGCATTCAAAAAATTGTATTACAAAAACTAACTACGTTAATATTACTAACATGGCGTAACTGACTATGTTACTGCTTACCTAATTCCATAAATGTTGGATAACATGGTTCGAAACCCAATAAGAGTGTCTTTTTTTATTTGTTATTAATTATTATGATGCTGACTGCTGAGCGTATAAAACTCAAATCTTGCACTAACCCTAAAGCTAAGCGGCCGCCCCACCCTCTCTCTCTCGTTTTAGAGACTCAAATCTTGTCCGATTCCTAAATCCTAGCGGCCGCCCACCTCGTTCTCTCTCTCGTTTTTTTTTCTTTCTCGTTCCCTTCGCCAGACAACTCTGTGTCTCACTTCTCTTTCTCGATTTCTTTCTTTTCTCCTCCAAACCCACAATCCTTCGAACCGAACCAAAAAGGGGGCTTCGCCTTGTTCTTCTTTTCTTCGATTTACCCCTTTCCCTCTCATTACTTCTGGGAAAAACGATCGAAATGAAAAAAATACTTTGCTGGCGGCGACTGGAGGCGAACACCGCTGGCGATGACAATGACGACGGCGAGGGGCGACGCGGCACTTCACATCGGCGACGAAGGTGAGTGGTTTTTTGATCTTACATGTCGATTTCTCTGGTTTTTCCGTTTGGTTCTGGTTTTGAAAAGTCAGATCTGAGTTATAGGCTTGTGGGCTCACGAAAAGTTCGGTTTAAAGTGCAATTTCTCATTGCACCGATGGCCAATGAGTTAAAGGGAGGTTGCGTTGGAATCATTTGACCGAGAGGAACGCCATAGAGTTGGAATTTGCAAGAAAAAGGTCTCTAAAT